TTTGAAATAAAACTTTATTTGATCCCAATCCGTGCGCCTCTCCAATATACTTCATATTTAAACGGGGGGAAAAGTAATTTTCATCCCTGAACGTTTTCTGTATTAGTATTTTAAATTATAATAATATTCAATGCTAGCGCATCATAATTTCATTAATCAAATGGCATTTTCCAATCTCTTTTCTATGGCTGTTATCAAAGACCCTTTTTTAATTAAACCTTAGAGCAATTTCAAAATTACCTGGAAAACCCGACTCCGAGTGAATTCTATTCATATTACCACATTTGGTTATTCCACATTGCGGAAAAGTGTCCCTCGCTTCAAAACTGACAAGTATAGAACGTAGGTTACGAGGTAGGCTTTTTCTATTTTCTCTCCTTCAATGACAGAGTGATTGGATGCAGTTCCGGGAAGCGTTTTTATTTCCACCGGCGCGTGAATTGAAGCGTTTCAAAGGCTGAGTTGAGGCCGAGTGAGGGAGGAAGCGGTTCTCGCGCGCTAAACTGATCGATACCCATCAAGCCTCAACACCAGGTTGTTAGCAATCTATTTGCGACGCTGTCTCATTATTGTTTCCTCGCGAGCACCTGAGTCGCAGCAGGGCTCGTTATAACTTTTGCAGTTTGTGTGTTCTTAAAGTGCGCCTTGATGGTTTTTGATGTGTGATAAAGGAGCGCAGATGACGGTCGGACCTAATTTATAGTTATTGGCAGCGCGTTCTGTCTTTTCCTTGAGCCCCTCGCCTTTGTTCTCGTGTTGTCAAGAGTTGATGACGAGCTTAAGAGACCAAGGCGAAAACACATTCTGCTCGTCATCGCTTTGTTTGTAAACGTTCGAGTTCCAATTGCAGCTGCTCGAGAAGAGAAATAATTGGCACAAATCATATAATAGCTTCAGATATTAAACCACTTGATTTTTTTTTTAATACCAAAATCTCTTTTAATCTCCGTATCCAGTAATGATGAAATAAATAATAAGGAAACACAAAATTAAATGGTTGAAATAAAAATGAGGATAGATACAAAAATCTCACTGCAAAGAGTTAATTGATGATTGGTGCTTTTCAAAATAATAATGCTTTTGGCGGAAAATACGAAACTTTTTTGCTTTTATCTCTTAACAGAAGCGCAAAATTTTCCAATTTGTAATTTAAAGTTCACTCGTAAATTCAAAAAATATTCTTGGATAAGGCATTAAAATGTATGTTTTTTTTCTAAAATTTTATGTTAAATCCTTTTCCTTCTATTTCAATGTGACAGGGTCGATAACTCTGTTTGTTACAATTTCTTTACGTGTCTCCCACTTTTCAGTGTAGGAAGAAGCAACATTTTCATGAAATCCAGAAGTTCGGATCATTCAAATGAGATGCAAATGCCACGCGGCAGATTACACACCCTCGGCACTCAATCTCGCTCGCAGTTGACGTGCAGCGCACACTTGCAGTGGCAAATCTCGTCTCGTGGTTTCCATTTTGAGAGCAAAATCCTTTCATCCTTTTGGAAAATCAGCTGCAACGGGCATATTGCGTTTTGATATGCCCACACCGCCGTGAAGCGACACGTTAAACGACAGGCGGAAAACGGGTTCCAAAATGTTTGTGGAAAGGCAAACAAATAACTGGAAAAAGTAAAAAAAAAAGTCTTTATAAATTACCTCTTGGGTAAAATTTTGCAAAAAAAAAAGGTAAAATTACCCTTCTGGTGAGGTCCAGCCGTCAAAATTTGGAGCCTAAATCCTAAATTTCTATTATATGAAAAAAAATATTAAAAAAACTTTGGTTATTCACATCATTAAGGCAATTGCGAACTAAAAAATCTTGGATATCAAATCGATCGGAAAATTTGAAAAAAAAAAAAACTATTTTTGCCTTTTGGCACATTTCCGGAAAATAAATTTAACTATTATGATATTTTGTTGCATAAACTGTCTGGAAATTATTCAGCAGAGCTAATAGATTGGTTGATTTATCAATTACATTTTTTTTTAAATTCATATTATTTGTTCTGATTAATCCGTCCACGAGAATAAAAATTCTAAATATACTTTTAGCAACTTTAATCACTGCAAATGGTCGACGAGTTCTTACATTGATTAAACATGGCAGCTTGAAAACAGTCTCGAATTCACAATGGGCCGAGATCGATAACAAAAACCGCCCTCAATGTACATCATATCTGTTTATTGTGCTGTCGAGACCCATTCACGAAGCTGATACGCCCGCGCATTTTCGTCATTCGGTGAATGAAGAAAAACAAAAACGCGGAGAAAAGTGCGTTGATACAGAAAAGAGCATCGATTTGCGCAGCCATTGAGGCGGAAACGTTGTAAATATACGAATACATGTTTCGATTTTTGCCGTCGGAACAAAGAGATGCGCGAGTCACGCATGGCCAATATATCACGGGCGCACCCAACACGTGTAATTGTCTTATCTGCTCGCCACATATTACGCTTGTCGTTAGTACAAAGGCCGGCAAAAAGAGTAGAGCTTGTGCTTTTTGCGCATTAGAGCGGGGTGATTTTTGGCCGGCCCACGAAGGGTTGCGTCTTTGTGATGAATCATTCATCAAAGTTGCCGCCGCCGATGAGGGGGAATTTAATTTGTTCCGGGTTGATGAGCTGAAAAATGTAAATTGCAGCTCTCTGGTCCGTCGTCGACCGGTGCCTTTTTGTTTCAGCTGGATGGGATGATGTGAAACGAAAAACGTGTGCTGCGCTGCACCCTCGTTGCCTGTTTGGCGAACGCTGGCCTAAAATTATACTTTGCTGGAAATGAAAATTGGTGTTTTGAAATGAGGGGAGCGTTCTCGTGGTATTTAATTTAATATTTTGAGCAAGAGATTATGCTTAACATCAGCAAGTTAAGTGATAGAGAGCCTGTGCTCAATATAAAGTTAGATGTACTTCAAAATTAAAATCAATTGCAATACTTAAATCTTTTTTTAAAAAAAAGCAAGAGATTTAAGCAATTATTGATAGAAATAGGGATTTTCAAGCTTATTTTGGTTAAAGATTTGATTTGATTATTCTAAAAATGGAGTTTGTAAAATTGTCATCAGCAAATTTGTCATCAAGGATTATATTAAAAATTTCGGCATGTCAATATTTTGATTCATTACCATCTTTTTTTTATTCATATTACAATTTTTTGACAGACATTGCCCATTTTTGGTGGCGCAGAAAACACAAACGAGTTTTTATTTTTAATTCCCTTCAGCCGCGTTCTCATTTTTAAATACCAAACTCACCTGATTTTCTTATACTTATTTATATTATTATGAACAAAGTAGAAGATATTATTTAAAATTTTTGGTTCTAAAAGGCACAAAATGAAGTTACTAAATTTGTCTAAATTAATTGTGGCATTGTTACAAAGACCAGAAAATAAAATTATAATAGAAGTATAACAATTTTAAAAGCAATTAATTTTTGAGAAGCTAAATAATAATTCAATTACAGTGCGGAAATGTCAATTTCTTTCAATTAAACTCAATCCGTGCTTAAATAATATTGACGAAATCATCGATAGCAAACCAAATACAAAGTAAAAAGGATTTAGCATACTTTTCTGCAGCTATTCTTATGGCTTTTATCCATATTTTTTATTTCAATTTATAAACAAAAAATTTTATTGCTAGCTAAATATTTTTGCTCTTCAAATTTCCATTAAATTGAATGTAAAATATAAATGTAGCATTTTGTTTTAAAATTCTTTCAGTGCAACTTAAAAACTGGTTACTTGGGCATAAAAAAATTGTTGTGTTTTCGCAAGTAAAGCAAAAAGCACGATTTCACTTGGTGTGCAAGACAAACAACGTCAAAAGCGCGGCGGCAATATTGCGCTCGTCAGATGGATACTTGACACCGGCGGCGGCAGAAAAAAGACTCAAGACATGCTCACTCGCTGCTCCACAAAAAATAAATTCACTCTCCATTTTTCCCCAAAGGTGCAGCGGCGGCGGCGTGTTCTCTTCAAACAAAACACACAATAACAACACAGAAGCTCGTCAGTCTTGAAAGCGGCTCGAGTGTTTGCAGTCTTGAGCTGTAGACGGACTATCCGTGTAGCAAGCCGGGGCTCGCGCTTCATTAATCCGGCAGAGAGGGTTGCAACGGACCGCAGACTGTCATTCCCGAGTGAGCGGACCGAGTGCCACATTTGGGGAAATTGCCCCGGGGAAACACCTGAGCCACACACAACTTTGTATGATTTGATCAGTTGACCCCCTCAGAAAAGATGTATGGGAATCTCTCTCTGTCCCTCTACAAATTTAAACCTTCCGATATAATCAAAATGCTCAGTCCCTTGATTTATGTACTTAAGTGAGAGGCTTAAGTCTGCCAAAAGTTGCCCACACAAGCTTATGCAAAATTATGGTTGGCCTGGCAATCTGAAAGGACCGGTATTAAGGAATTAAATTTTCCTTGTTTAATAACAGCATCATCTGATATATTGTTGAATAAAAAAAAACATTATTTGCGTTTCAGAGTAAAATAAAAATTAAATATTTAATAAAATGCATCTAGCTAAACAAACGGGAGTTAAAAAAACTGTTTAAAATATTTAGTTAAAAATTAAATGACACTAGAGATTTTCAAGTTGGACATCATCGTCTGTTAAAATCCAATAATATTTTAGCATTTTTGTCAATTTCTTATGCAAATCATGGTTTTCAGTAGATTTATTCTGAACGTAAAAAAATAGATGTCTATTCGATACAGAATTAATGAACAAAAACTGATTTCAGGCCAAGCAAATCGCTAATTATACTACATATATAATTTATTAGTTAGTATGAGTAACTTTGTAATTAGTATAATTATTGTAAAAAAAAGCCTGAAGCTCGACAAACTGAAATCAACTTATGCAACTTGAACTACTCGAAGCAAAGCCTGTTGCATAATTTTGTGCCGTTCCTGATTTGAATGCTTAACTTGTATTTTTTAATGCATTCTTGAATATGTACATTGGAAATAAAACTTTTCTTCTTTTGTTGCAGCTACGACTTGCGAGGGAGGAAGGTTGGAAACGCAAAGCTGTGGTCGTCGCCGAACGTGTTTGGGCCGCGAGCACGTTTTCAGACCGAGACCACTCCTGCCGTGCTGCAAGTGGAAGGTCTCCTGGTCGAGGACGAAGGCGTCTACAGATGCAGAGTCGATTTCAGGAATTCGCCTACGAGGAACGTCAAAATCAACCTCACAGTCATCGGTGAGTAAACTTCAAATTTTTTTTATACAAAAATAGGCAGACAAAATTAAATTTAAAATATGAATTAAGCATTATGCATTTTACATTTCGTCCCAAATTGTCTTTGACGGTTTAGGAAAAAGATAAAGTATTTTAACTTTAAAAATATTTTATTTTTAAAGAGAATTATTTAGCTTTTTCCTTTCTTGTTTATAATAAGTGTTTATAATTATTTAAATTATAATTTTATTATTTACCGTAAGAATGCAGTATTTTGATCTATAATTCCTGATGAGGTATCATTAAATATAATTTTCAACTAAGTGGGAAATGAAACCTGAAAAGTTTGGCAAAAACTTTGAATTCTGACTGTTCTGCGGAACTTAATGGTATATAGAAGAATTTAGTTATTTTCAGAGAAGTATAAGATTTTTTCTGTTAAGAAATTTTCGCGTTTCATTAATTCTACTTGCTCACATTACTCGAGAGCATTAATCTTGTCACTGGAGTTGCTTGCTGGAAATTTAACCGGCGAGTTCTCATCTTCAAATGTGGCCACCGCAGCCGTCCCCATAACGCTGATTTCCCAAGGTGCGTTTCTGTGACACCTCTCGCGTCGCCCCGAAACAAATAGTTCACTTTCACCCCGGCTCTAATTTGTCTTTTTCGAGAAATACCACCTCCACACGAGGATCTAAGGGCCCATTATATGTCTTGATGTGCAGCGTGTAATTTCACCTCTGGTACACGCGAAATAATAGCACGACGTGTAAGAAAGAAAGCATTCCCATGTTTTCCCGCTGCGAGATATGGAGGAGGAAACGGGCAAAGCCCAAACAATGTTGCACGGCGGGCATTAGTTGCACACACCCTTAGGGCTCTCGGCAACCGCATTAATACTGAGACAGATGACGACGAGATCTCGTCTTTCTGCGCCGCAAACCCGCAACCCGAGCTGTTTTATCTCTACTTGCAGAGAGCGTACTTGGAATGAAGAATGATTTGAGACTCCGAATTTAGGTGGGATTTGGAACAATCTAAATACAATCTATTATTTTTATAATAAGATGACAACATCTTGTTGCATTTATCTGATGAAATGGCATTTAAGGTGTCTCTGTGTGAACCTGGGACTAAAAGTTGAAAAATAGATTCCATTTAAATAAGGCAATCGCTTTCTTTTTGTAAAATTCTCGTATAAAAAAATTCAAACCTTATGAACCTGGGACTAAAAAATGTTAAGTAAAAAGTTCCTTTTAACAGTTACAATTATAGATGCTCTCAATTCCAGCTGTGATTCATGCTAAATTGCTCTTGATCGTCGTTTAGGGAACATTGAAATATGGCACACATCACTTCTAAAAAATAAAGTTTTAAATTTAGGCTTATGTAGTTGCCTAAAATCTTAGATACTCGCATTACTTGCTTTGTGTCATGTTTTGAGAACTTCATTTTTTTTAATATTCAATTACTTATTTATAATCAATTATAAACAAGTTATAATTAGCTCTTCATGCAATTATTTACAATATCATATTTTACGTTGTGTTCCAAGCTTAGATGTTTTCATCACAAGGCCGGACGTTTATTAGTTTATTTAATCTATAATTGATTATCGTGAACTTCTACTACAAAAATATAATTGATTAATTAAATTAAATTTAAAAATATAAAAATATAAAATATTCATCAATTTCTTTCTAGTTTGGAATTGCCTTGAAACTAAATGAGTGTCGTGGGATTTTTTTTACATTTAATTCAGTTTTTATTTAATATTGACAACCCAAGATGAATTCAGCATATTTTCCTGCTGTCTCACTATGTTGGGGAGAAGTCACTCGGACCACAAATCTGTGAGGGCCACCCTTGCGGTCTCGAGAGGGGGCTAAAGTTATTCGGCAAAAATATAAGGCGCGCGCACTTAATGAATACGCAGGCCGAGCTCAATGAAGCCCTTAGCGCCTTTGAATTTTGCAGCGCCACTAAAATTAGGCACACGCAGGGTCGAGAAAGAGAGAGAGACCTTCATTATGGCGGGGACGCATTATCAAGTTAGGCTTAATGAACGGTTTTTTAGACGGCGCAGCGTCGAGTTGTGATCTTTTTATGCCTTGTGTATAACAGCTCATTAGCAGCACTAATTACATTAAGCTCGGGGCGGCGGCGACGCGGCCGCCAAAGTCACCGAGTATTATTATTTGTATGTATAATTTGCACTCGTTTTGGTGCCACGGCGGGGTGGGGGGGGGGGGGGACGTAGAACACACGCCGAGCATTTTCGTGAGCCCCCAATTAAAATGAACGACCAGTCTTGGGCGGCGCAAAAAGTCGCCGGGAGCAAAACGCAGATGGCTTTCGCAGAATTAGACCTCGTTTGCATAATTAGCCGCGGCTTTTGCAACTAATTAATTTGCGCCCACTCCGAACTAAGCCCCTCTGCGGAATTGCAGGTGCCGAAGACTTTTCTTCAAATGTGGCAATGCGCGGGTCGCTTTAAGGGTAGAACTTTGATCAAACCGTTTAGTGTGTTCCTTAACAGACTTGGGGTCAAATAAGCGGCTTTAGCAAGTAAACCGTTAACATTTCGGCCTTTATGATTAGAATAATTCAAATAAGATAATTCCTATATTTTGGAAAATTTTCTACTGCTAATAAGATTTTAATTCTTTCAATGTGTAGCACACAAAACGAGATGCACAGACCAGCCCAGCCTGATAGTTGAGCTTTTTTTGGACAGAGGCTAATTGAATTATTTAGATTTGCAGTGTAATCTTTTGGGATATTTAAAAAAAAAATAACCATGAATTTCTAAGAACTTAACATTCTTAGATATTGTTATTGTGGTTTTAGTCAAAAAAATTAGCATTCAAGACAGAGAATGAATTTTTGTGAGCGAAAAAAGGCACCACAATTAGCAAAGAATTTTGTTACCTTTTAATTGAAATTAATTTAATTAAGCCAATAAGGAATCTCTAAGTCTATAAAAATTTGATCAGATTAGGCTTTTGGATCACTCCCAATGTTTTTATTTAATTAAAGCTGAATGTAATAAATTCTAAACTCATATGTGTTACAAAAACTTCTTGCAGCAAACTGAATTCAGGCGCAGAAAAACTATTAAGCGTCGAGAAAAAAAAGTAAAATACATCGTTCGTAAATTATTTCTCTTGTGCAGTTCGAATCTTTCACTAAACTGCTCTGCTATGATTGGATCAATTTTTCTTGGTTCAGTTGCATAACTTTTGAATATGTATAAAAGAGAATCCAGCCCAATTAAAACTGGAAACGTAAAAATACAAAAGTATGAGTAGGCAAATTTTTTTCCAATTAAAAGTGGATTGGCCGAGTTTGCATGTTAAAGCCTCTCACAGTTTTCAAAGTGCCGCCTTGTTTGGCATTTTATTTTCAGACTCACGCACGCTGCGTTTGTTCTCGTGAGGTCCGCAAACTAATTCGCGTGTTCGGTGGGAAATTTTTTGCTGTTCCAAGCGCACTAAAGTTGTTTTGCTTGATTACAATAATCGTGGCCGAGGATTATGAGGAACACATTATTACGGGGCGGACGCAAGTACGTGATTCACATTTGAAAAACGACTCTTGAAATTTGTTTATTGCACACACTCGGATTTAAAGTGAGAGTGGCATTAATACACTCTTGTAACTGCGAATTTAGTGACATTGCGTGTTCTCGGATTTTATGCGAGCAAAAAATACGTTTCTCGGAAATTGCCACTTGTAATCAGGATTTTAAATTTCCATAGCCCCTTGGAAATAAATTTTCTATGTACCCTATTAAAATATGAAGTAATGCAAAAGTTATTTATAATTTGTAATAAACAATTAGAAAGCAGAACGGCTCCCGGAAATACACATGAAATCAATTTCTACTTGGAGCAAGAATGAAGTGTTATAAAACGTCATAGCTCAGATAGAGATGGAATGATAGAAATTATACTTTTCAACGGCAGCTCTTGATCTCATTTATGTTGCAAAGGACTCGTCTTGGCTACTTAAACTTTGAGGGAACGTTGTGATACAATTATTTTTGTCATTTAAAAATTAAAATATTTAAAATTATTTAAATTTTACAGCCATTTCTATTTGAAACATTTTTGCAAATTGTTTGTAAATATCTTAAATGAATAACGAAAGGTTATTCTACTTTTGAAAGATCATCCGTGTTGATTAGAAAGAAAATTTCAAAGCAAATAAATTATATTTATTATGAAACTCATTTAAAAAACTGATACACATTATTATGATCTGGAGGATAATCCTTTTTCTCTGTTTCTGAAATTTTATCGCTAATTTTGAATGTAGAAATTTAATGGATTCTGATTGAAAAGATTCCCTTCGCAGAGGGAAGCGAGTGCACTTGAATCCAACAAACTCTTCCTATCTGTAAAATAATTGCCAAAGTTTTAAGTGACCTTAATTTGTGTGCAGATAAAATCAAGTTGCAACTCGTTGCTCGGGGCGTTCTGAAGAAGGAGGCGCTGCTAGTCAGACGACAGAGCGAAAGAGGATCTTTTCAAGTGAACGCGAGAAAAGTAGTGCGGACTTTTTCTGCTCCTCGTCATATTAAATTCCGCTTGACCGATTGCGATCGGTATAAATGAGTGCAATGACGAAAGAAACGAACCCAATTTGCCATTAAACCTATTTACATTGTAATAATTCAATGTAAAAAATCTAATGTATTTTAAATCTCATCGATTATTGTTTTTTTTTTTATAACAATATTTTTTAGTTTTCATTAGACTCTATTTCTTAATTTGTTAAATTATTCTATAAGACAATTGTTTTATAATTCATGTCGGGGTAAACTCGGCACTTCTTCCAGCGGCCACCGATGGTGCTTGCTGCACCATTCCATTATTTATTATCAAGAAATTATTCAAATTCAGCTGAAGCTATCCATTTTAGAATTTACTTGTTTGAATGGAGCTCTTAAATGACATGAAAAGCCTGGTTTCTTACACTTGGGCTGAAAAAAGCTAGCATAATAAGAAATCCGCGTT